GCTTATTTCAGGTTCATTGTATATTTTTTTCTATAAGCGGACCACAGACTGACCACATACGAGAGGTGGCTGCTTATTTCAGGCGACCACTCAAGCAGATTTGACTGTATTTCCTATTGGCTCACAATTGAGTATGATAGTTTCAGGTTGACTCAAAAATGAGTGCAACATATTTTATGTTGATTCCCAAATAAAAATTCTATTCAGAAAATCACATTTACTAAAAGAAAAACAAACCAAATTTCTGTTATGTTTTATTGATAATGATAGGTGGTATTTCTATAAATTGCACATACAAAATGAATATTGATTACTCTATCAATCCATAAATACTAAAACAGAAATAAAACTAAATAAGTTAACAATCCTATTGCAACTTTCTACTCATCTAATAAAATCATAAAAATAAATTCATAAAAACATTTTAATCAATGTTTAGTGGTTTTGCATAAATTACTTATATGATATGAACAATGTGTCAGATTTAATAAATATTCATTAAATTTGGCAAGATCAATAATTATCATAGACAAAAGGAAAAACAAAATTTATAAAAAATAATATATATGCAATACTTAACCTTTGGTGATTTTAATATCTAGACACAGTTCTGTACCCATTGGCTTGTGTCTGCATCAGTTCAGTCCTGTACCCATTGGCTTGTGTCAGTTCAGTTCTGTACCCATTGGCTTTTGTCTGTGTCAGTTCAGTTCTGTACCCATTGGCTTGTGTCTGCGTCAGTTCAGTTCTGTACCCATTGGCTTTTGTCTGTGTCAGTTCAGTTCTGTACCCATTGGCTTGTGTCTGCGTCAGTTCAGTTCTGTACCCCTTGGCTTGTGTCTGTGTCAGTTCAGTTCTGTACCCCTTGGCTTGTGTCTGTGTCAGTTCAGTTCTGTACTCATTGGCTTTTGTCTGTGTCAGTTCAGTTCTGTACCCATTGGCTTGTGTCTGTGTCAGTTCAGTTCTGTACCCATCGGCTTGTGTCTGTGTCAGTTCAGTCCTGTACTCATTGGCTTGTGTCTGCATCAGTTTAGTCCTGTACTCATTGGCTTGTGTCTGCGTCAGTTCAGTTCTGTACCCCTTGGCTTGTGTCTGTGTCAGTTCAGTTCTGTACCCATCGGCTTTTGTCTGTGTCAGTTCAGTCCTGTACTCATTGGCTTGTGTCTGCATCAGTTTAGTCCTGTTCTCATTGGCTTGTGTCTGCGTCAGTTCAGTTCTGTACCCATTGGCTTGTGTCTGTGTCAGTTCAGTCCTGTTTCCATTGGCTTGTGTCTGTGTCAGTTCAGTCCTGTACCCATTGGGTTTTGTTTGTGTTAGTTCAGTTCTGTACCCGCTGGCTTGTGTCTGTGTCGGTTCAGTCCTGTTTCCATTGGCTTTTTTCTGTGTCAGTTCAGTCATGTACTCATTGGCTTGTGTTTGTGTCAGTTTAGTCCTGTTCCCATTGGCTTGTGTCAGTTCAGTCCTGTCCCCATTGGCTTGTGTCTGTCAGTTCAGTTCTGTCCCCATTGACTTGTGTCTGTGTCAGTTAAGTTCTGTACACATTGGCTTTTTTCTGTGTCAGTTCAGTCCTGTAACCATTGGCTTTTGTCTGTGTTCGTTTAGGTCTGTACCCCTTGGCTTTTGTCTTTGTTAGTTTAGTCCTGTTCCCATTGGCTTGTGTCTGTCAGTTCAGTTCTGTCCCCATTGACTTGTGTCTGGGTCAGTTCAGTCCTGTACTCATTGTCTTGTGTCTGCATCAGTTCAGTTTTGTACACATTGGCTTGTGTTTGCATCAGTTTAGTTCTGTAACCATTGACTTGTGTCTGGGTCAGTTTAGTCCTGTACCCCTTGGCTTTTGTCTTTGTCAGTTCAGTCCTGTCCCCATTGGCTTGTGTCTGGTTCAGTTCAGTTCTGTACACATTTGCTTTTGTCTGTGTCAGTTCAGGTCTGTACACATTGGCTTGTTTCTGTGTCAGTTCAGTTATGTACCCATTGGCTTGTTTCTGTGTCAGTTCAGTTTTGTACACATTGGCTTGTGTTTGCATCAGTTTAGTTCTGTAACCATTGACTTGTGTCTGCGTCCGTTCAGTTCTGTACCCAGTGGCTTGTGTCTGTGTCGGTTCAGTCCTGTTTCCATTGGCTTGTCTCTGTGCCAGTTCAGTCCTGTACCCTTTGGCTTGTGTCTGTGTAAGGTCAGTCCTGTACCCATTGGCTCTTGTCTGTGTCAGTTTAGTCCTGTTCCCATTGGCTTGTGTCAGGTATGACCAAGTTGTGTGTAAACAAGGGACCAGAGGAATCTTCAGGTACCTACCATTTAAAGACCTTCATTAGATCTAGGCAACATTGACCGTTTCCCTTCATTTCTCCGAGTGTGTCTTTGGTGATTTTAATATCTAGACACAGTTCTGTACCCATTGACTTGTGTTTGCGTCAGTTCAGTTCTGTACACATTGGCTTGTGGCTGTGTCAGTTTAGTCCTGTCCCCATTGGCTTGTGTCTGCCTCAGTTCAGTTTTGTACACATTGGCTTGTGTCTGGGTCAGGTTAGTCCTGTACCCATTGGGTTTTGTTTGTGTTAGTTTAGTCCTGTTCCCATTGGCTTGTGTCAGGTATGACCAAGTTGTGTGTAAACAAGGTACCAGAGGAATATTGGCTTGTGTCTGTGTTAATTCAGTTCCCATTGGCTTGTGTCTGCGTCAGTTCAGTTCTGTACTCATTGGCTTGTGTCTGCATCAGTTCAGTTCTGTACCCATTGACTTGTGTCTGCGTCAGTTCAGTTCTGTACCCATTGGCTTGTGTCAGTTATGACTAAGTTGTGTGTAAACAAGGTACCAGAGGAATCTTCAGGTACCTACCATTTAAAGACCTTCATTAGATCTAGGCAACATTGACCGTTTCCCTTCATTTCTCCGAGTGTGTAAAAGATATGACAATGAATTTGGAATCAGTCTTGCTGTAATCCAGGAATTGCAAGGTTAAATTCCACAGTAGGTAGAATGTTGTTTTAAATTTTTGAACTGTTAACACAAGCTCTAATTAAATCAATATATAAACACATCCATAATATCCTACACGATACTGAGTTACAATGACCGCTGACACTCCAAAGGAAAACAGTTCACAAATACTGTTTCAGAAGAGGTATACATGTTTTTTCCAAACTACATCTCAATTAAATAGAAGTACATTCTATTATGTTAAGGAAAATGTTCATGATACGAAAATATCATCTGTAAGTCGATAAATGCCTATATCCTTCTAATTTCTTAAATTCTTGTTCAACAAATAAATATTTATATTGAATTGGAATTATAAAAGAGAACCGACCAGCACAAACTAGTACCACCCTGTAACTCTTGGGTCTAGTGATGCTATTGGATGTCTGCTTCTGGTTTCAAACTCACTGGAGATACTAAGGGACTGGTAGCCAGTCTCACTCACCTCTGAAATTTCATAATGGACTATTCCAACCTTTGAATTAGAAGAGTTCAAATGTGTCTTCAGGGGTGAATGCATTAAAGAGACAGACATACAGACATATAGATGATTTCAATATGTCTCCAATATCTGTGTAGTTGGAAGTATAATTGCAAAAAAAATCGGCCTTTTTAACAGAGGCTACTGAAATGCTCTGGATTCTATCAGACTAAGTGGCTTTAACAGAAATACATGTATACACTGGGTAAACATTCTCTGATCACCAAAAGGCAATATACACAAAACAGACATCTCATATATGTATACACTAAAAGAGGGTAAATATTAAAATGTATATCTAAATATTAACATATAAATTATAAAGTGACACACCACCACAGAACAGAAATAATAAAAACAAGTAACACTTCAATCCCATTGAAAATATGTGAATGATTCCAATTAGCTCATTTCCTCTCCTACTGACCATTTACCTGTACATCTAGTACACGGATATTTAAATAATATCATTACCTTACCTCGTGTTTTACGATGTTATATAAGAATTTTTTTATTCTATTATCATACATGGAAAATCAATATTATACCCTCCCTCATACTTGCAAACTCTCCCTTTTTAGAAGGTAGACTACAGATTTTGCACTCTTAAATGCAGTATTTTCAATTATTGAATTTGTTTAACTATTGCTATATTGTAAGATCGAATGACTTTCTCTTAAAAGAACTCGGAATGTCATTTATTTTGTCTCTAGGGGGTATATACATACATTTTATATCTATGTTTTTAATTTTGAACATATCCATGCAGTGCCATGGGGGACTGTTAATGTAATTCCCTCCCTTTGTGTTCTACTTCGGTATTTGTATTTTACTACCTATGCTATGTAGGCTATAAATATTATTACCTCCCTTTGTATTTTACTATGCTATGTGGACTATCAATATTATTACCTCCCTTTGTATTTTACTATGCTGTGCAGATGATTCAATATTGCTTCTACTGTCAAGCAACTTAATCCAGCAACCTCTAATGTTACCTGGTAAGAACCCCAGTACCCATCAAGTATTTAAAAAGACAGATTTTACTACTGTTTTCAAACAAGCCCTAGATACCCAGTCCGTTTTTAATGTTATCTTTTTCAGCTTGGTGGCGGGATGAATGCGGCACAACTGTAGTTACTTCCCCTTACCTGTTTTATATGTGTACAATTACCTCCCTTATCTAAACAGTAATAGTTATTTATGTGCAGGTGGTTTTTATAGACAAGTACTCTTAATATACAGGTGATCTTTTTATTATTATCACATAGTGTACTGTGTTATCCAGTGAATATACCAATGTCATATTTTTTTGCGTATTAACCCATGTAATATGACCTATCAGCCCTGTGATTGGTTGTAAGTTTCAATTGTTTCAATTGTGACGTCACACCTAGGACAGATACATGATGTCACAGACTTACGCACTAGAGTAAAAATGGCGGAATTTTACATTATAAGGTTGCATGAAGATTGTCGTTTTACACGATAAATGCCACAAATCTTGATTATGTGATAAAAACGATTTGACACTTGTTTTCATTTCATATGAAATTTATGAAACTCGTCACAAATTTTTCATTTCAGCTCGCCAGAGGCTCGCTAAATTGAAAAAAACCCTTAAGAGTTGCTTCATAAATCTCATTTGAAATGGAAACTCATGTAAGAATATATATATATTTGGAGGATACTGTAAAAATTTTTTTTTAGAAAATGTATATATATGTTTAACAAAAACATAACCCACTCATGATTATTCGGGTTGATATGTATTGATATCAAAAGCTGTTCAGCAGTCAACACTGAAATTCACAACAAACATATATATATACAAAGCAGCAACAACAACAAAAAGTTCAATGTTAAAAAACTGGTACATTGTGGGTTTTTTGAGAAATATATCATAACAAAAACCATACTGTTGGGGATACAAGGTAAAGCCTTTTCTAAAATACTTTTTTTTCTTCAAAAATTCAATTCAGAATAATTTTTACAGATTCACCAAACAGAAAAAAAACTAACTTCTATTTACTTTATTTAGGTGAGTATTAGTTTTTGCAATGGAATGCATTTGGGAGAAATTCCTGTTTGAATTATGGTGAAAATACATATCTTGAAAAATATTAGCAATTTTCGGTAAATAAACACAAACTATTTAAACTTTTTTCCCCTAAATATCACAGTGTTCATTTGGGATTTGCAGTATAACAGAATCTATAATTAACAAAAATTAACAAAACAGCTGATGTTTGAACTTCCAACAGATCAGGGCGATACAGTAAAGTGGGCTGTTTCACAGTGTGCAGTGTACCAAGTCAGCGAAAATAAATCTAAACCCATTCACATATTTTCAATGACCCCACAAATTTCCACATTTGGTGAAACCTGTTTAATACGACCCCTGAGTATTCCAACTTCCTGTCTAATCCAAAAAAGATAGTGTAATTATGTTTCTTATGAAAACTTTTTTGACAATCTGTTAAATAATTACTAGAAATGCTATCTAAAGAAACACCTTATTAGGAATTTAGAAAGTTGACACAGAAAACCAACCGCAGTAAACATTTATCACACAAACCGGCCATTTGGTCAATGTTAGACTAATTAGAGAAAAGAAGGCAAACTTATGACTCAAGTATTCTGAAAAATTTGCAGAAATACAACAAAATGGAAAGGGTACCTATCATACCCTTTATAACATTACAATAATTATAATAACTTGAGGCTTTAACATATAACCGACACATTTTGACTCACAGGGTATCAGATTAGACAGATATCACCGTAGGAGGCTTTAACATACAGCCGACACATTTTGACTCACCGGGTATCAGATTAGATAGGTATCACTGTAGGAGGCTTTAACATATAGCAGACACATTTTGACTCACCGGGTATCAGATTAGACAGATATCACTGTATGAGGCTTTAACATATGGCCGACACATTTTGACTCACCGGGTATCAGATTAGACAGATATCACTGTAGGAGGCTTTAACATATAACAGACACATTTTGACTCACAGGGTATCAGATTAGACAGGTATCACTGTAGGAGTCAAGATCTGTTACCACATTTAACTGTCACATGAGCATTCATATTCATCCTTAAATTCAATATGACTAAAAATTGATTTTGGCAAAAGTTTGTGATGAACATATTATATTCTATAATAATAGATTTTATGTACGTAATATTTTGTTTGGTTTTCACACATGTCCTAGTCTATGTCTTGTATAAGAGTTGTCTTCCCTAACAGTCACCATGGTGACAAACCTCGGTGAGTGTGTTGATCAGCATATAGCGCGAGAAGACGAGGTAAAGAATACGAAACCAGGTCAGCTGACTTCTGTGAGCAAACATAGCTCTCTGAAAAGAAAAATATTGACATGGAAATGAAGAATGCTTCAAACCTACAATATGCCAATCAACATGGATGAAGGACCCTTCTGGGTCCTACGACTCTCGGTGTATAATTTTGGTTACAGACCAACAGATTAAATCAAATTATACTGAAAGAGAAAGTATTTGGGAAAAGCAGGCAAAACATGAAAATAAACCAAAGGTAATTTAATATTTAAAAACATGGTTTTCTCATTTCGGTTTTCTCCTTGTTTTAAATGAAAAGAAAGACCATTTTTCTTTCAGCACATCACCACTATACCAGGAGTGTAGAGCATGTGGACTTTAATCAACAGAAACACATTTCTGTATCATTTATAATGTACTCAAAACTCCTATTATTGTTTGTTTAAATTGTGTATGCGTGGAACCTTACCCAAGATCTCAGAACGGCTAATGGTGATGAGACGTAGATGTTTCGGGAGACGACGTATGATAAAGGTAGGTCCAGGATGGAGACATATTTTCGGAGGATATTGACACTATTCAGACAGAACACCCGGGAATCTGAAATGGACGCCAGAAAAGATAACTGATTTTTCGAATACTACATGCTAGGAAATTTGAGAGGCAGATTAAATTTGGCCTTTTTCTCCCTGTTATAATCACGAGGGCAAATTAATCACAGCAGCAAATATCAGTACACCGCACACCATATATAGTAATAATTACAATGGGAAAACTCATCACAGGGTAAATAACGATTTTATTGGTGAAGAGTAAATATTTAACGGAGGTAAATTATAGTAATACGTACATTGCGGCATGATTCCTTGCTCACATAAGCTGCTGTAAATACCAATTAATGGAGGAATTAGCTGTTATATCAAAACCAGTTAAACATATCTAATAACCTGCTTATTGCTGACCGGATAATTTTTTGTAAATTCTGTAAGATTTTTATACATTTATTTGTATTCAATATGAAATAATTTAACTAATAAAAAAATATTTTTACTTTTTGTTAATTCGAAATATTTAAACCTCTTGAAATAATTCCTTCTAAAGCAATTGTAAATTTTTGTACTCACAAAAAAAATGATACAGTAAAGTCATCAAGGGGAAGAACTCACTGACTGTGAGAAGGGGTTAGGGTCCATACAAATGTTGTGGAATGTGCACACAGATTTCATGCTGTATATTATTATTATTATTTACACACAGATTAAACACATTACACACAGATTTACATACAGATTTAAACACATTACCCGAGGATTTACACACGGATTAAACACATTACACACAGATTTACAAAAATTACATATTTACACACATTAAACATAGATTTAAACACATTATATGTAGATTTACAAAAGTTACGCAGATTTACACACATCATACATAGATTTACACACATCATACAGATTTACACACATTTACACACATTAAACATAGATTTACACACATTACAAATAGATTTAAACACATTACACACATTTTAGGGAATTATGAACGAACCATCAAAAGACAAACTTCCAAATTGACTTGATTCTTTAAGATGAAATTTTCATAAGGTGATTTAAAAAGTTTTCTTCATAAATGACATCATTTTATGGATTTAAAGAGGACATTATTTTTGCAAAATTCAAGATTGTGATTCATGTTTTTTCCTGACATGAACCGTCCTACTTTTTTCTGGTATTACAGATGTTGGTAAATACTTACAGTAGAGCCGAGTGAACGGCCTTGTGGTTAATATGGCCACTTATTCCACTTGAGTCAAAGGTGATCACCTAAAAAACCAAAAATGTGTTACAGAAATGTCACTGGTGTATCAAAATAGAAACTGTATTATATCAATAATGTATCAGAACTTCACACTTACATTCTGTATAAAGATTTCAGTAGCAGTGACCAGAGATCTTGTTGAACAGTTCATAGCAATATTTCCAACCACATTACAGAAAATCTGCATAAACATCCAACAGTGTTTCTTTTTCTACCTTTTTTACAACAGTCTGTTCCGTCATGAATTGGGAAAAAACAGCATCACTTGTGTATTTTAATTGAAATCGGAAAGATATTCCCCTCTGTTTCTTCATTTTTTGGAAAATAAAGCACATTTCTTGGCTGTAAAACTAGGCAAAAAAAACCCATCTCTCCCAATACCCTTATAACAGTACAAATATTTCAGTTCTTTTATTCTTGTGATTTTGTATAAAAGATTTCAACATTTAATTTAAAGATCTCAGCCTGTATTGTGCCTGTATTACAGTAGATCTTTACTATGATAGAGTTATATATGAAGATCTTAGTGTTTGTATTACAGTAGATCTTTACTATGATAGAGTTATATATAAAGATCTTAGTGCCTGTATCACAGTAGATATTTACTATGATAGAGTTATATATAAAGATATCAGTGCCTGTATTACATTAGAACTTTACTATCATAGTAATATATAAAGATCTTACTGTCTGTATTACAGTAGATCTTTACTATGATAGAGTTATATATAAAGATCTCACTGCCTGTATTACAGTCTACTTTACTTTGATAGTGTTATATATAAAGATATCAGTGCCTGTATTACAGTAGAACTTTACTATGATAGAGTTATATATAAAGATCTTAGTGCCTGTATTACAATAGAACTTTACTATGACAAATTTATGTATAAAGATCTGTGTCTATATTACAGTAGATCTTTATTATGATAGTTATATATATAGATATCAGTCCCTGTATTACAGTACATCTTTACTATGATAAGAGTTATATATAAAGATCTCACTGCCTGTATTACAGTAGAACTTTACTATGATAGAGTTATATATAAAGATCTTAGTGCCTGTATTACAGTAGAACTTTACTATCATAGTTATATATAAAGATCTGTGTCTATATTACGTAGATCTTTATTATGATAGTTATATATAAAGATATCAGTGCCTGTATTACAGTACATCTTTACTATGGTAGAGTTATATATAAAGATCTCACTGCCTGTATTACAGTAGAACTTTACTATGATAGAGTTATATATAAAGATCTTAGTACCTGTATTACAGTAGAACTTTACTATGAGAGTTATATATAAAGATATCAGTGCCTGTATTACAGTAGAACTTTACTATCATAATAATATATAAAGATCTTAGTGCCTATATTACAGTATATCTTTACTATGATAGAGTTATATATAAAGATCTTAGTGCCTGTATTTCAGTAGATCTTACTATGATAGTTATATATAAAGATCTTAGTGTCTATATTACAGTCGATCTTTACTATGATAGTGTTATATATAAAGATATCAGTGCCTGTATTACAGTAAAACTTTACTATGATAGAGTTATATATAAAGATCTTAGTGCCTATATTACAGTATATCTTTTCTATGATAGTTATATATAAAGATCTCAGGAGTCAGTATTACAGTAGATCTTTACTATGATAGTATACAGTTAAAGTATGGGGTTGAGGGATATAGCAAGTTTATATAAAGATCTTAATGCCTATATTACAGTAGGCGAAGCCGAGGGAATATACATGGTCAAGGGACACCAGAAACTTGCTATATGCCTCAACCCCATACTTTAACCGTTTTATTATACCGATACACAGTGGAGAGATAGTTTTAACTAGAAAATATTTGTAAACCATAAGCTGTATAGCTTCAAGTCCCAAATACCCTTTTGATGTCAATGGAGCCAAATGCTTCCGATTTCGGTTGCAAGCTCCGCCCACCTCGCACGTCGCTTCCGAGTTCGGTAACAAGCTCCGCCCACCTCTCGACTGATTGGCTTGGCGGAAACACCCGAGTGTAGGTGTGTTTTAGTTCCCAGACTAACACACAGGACTAAAACACAGTCAGGCAAAAGTGGGGATATATTCGATTTAACCAATTACTTTTATATAGAGTAAATAAAGTAGAGGTGTAATATTGTTATATATAAAGATCTTTACTATGATAGTGTTATATATAAAGATCTTAGTGCCTGTATCACAGTAGAACTTTACTATGATAGTGTTATATATAAAGATCTTAGTGCCTGTATCACAGTAGAACTTTATTATGATAGAGTTATATATAAAGATCTTAGTTTCTATATTACAGTAGATCTTTACAATGATAGAGTTATATATAAAGATCTTAGTGCCTATATTACAGTAGATCTTTACTATGATAGTTATATATAAAGATATCAGTGTCTGTATTACAGTAGATCTTTACTTTGATAAGAGTTATATATAAAAATATCAGTGCCTGTATTACAGTAGAACTTTACTATGACAGAGTTATATATAAAGATCTTAATGCCTATATTACAGTAGATCTTTACTATGATAGTTATATATAAAGATATCAGTGTCTGTATTACAGTAGATCTTTACTTTGATAGAGTTATATATAAAGATCTTAGAGTTTATTACAGTAGATCTTTACAATACTAGAGTTATATATAAAGATATCAGTGCCTGTATTACAGTAGATCTTTACAATACTAGAGTTATATATAAAGATTTAAGTGCCTGTATTACAGTAGATCTTTACTATGATTGAGTTATATATAAAGATTTAAGTGCCTGTATTACAGTAGATCTTTACAATACTAGAGTTATATATAAAGATTTACGTGCCTGTATTACAGTAGATCTTTACTATGATAGTGTTATATATATAAAGATCTCAGTAGTCAGTACATGTATTACAGTAAATCTTTAAGATTTCAGTAGTTATATAACATATATGAACGACTTGCTCTATCAATTACTACCAGCCTGATACAATACTTACAGCATTGGGCTGTATTGTATAGATGGTGGAACGCAGTCTGTCACTCACTGCCTCCTCATCCCAAGTCACGGACGGATCGTCTGGATACAGACTAGAAATCACAAAGTTACTCAATTATTTCCGAAGTATTTTGGGAATTATTAAGATGAGTGATTTTGGGAATTATTTAATGCAAAAACACACTATTTTGGGAAGAAAAACTGATTTTACACAAACCTAACAATATTGTACAAAGTCCTATCCAAAATTTTGTTTTCTTACAGATAATGATTGGGAATTTAACGTCAATTATAGGAATAAAAATGCCGACTAAGCCTCTGCATTTTAAATGGGGATGCTATCAGACCCTGTTTAAATAAGCAGAAAAACTACTTTTTCAATTTAAAATTATCCATTTCTCAGCTTCCATGGGGATTCTGCATAGACCCCTGGAGACAAAATAACCCCCAAAATTGACATATTTTGAGTTGTTCTTTAAGATGAAATCATTAGATCTTAGAATATAGGGACAGTTAAGCAAATTCACTGGTTTAAAACATTCCATTCAAGGGTCCAAAATTGGGAGTCTCCCTCCTAAATAGGGAGGGTTGGCAAGTCTGCAAAAGCTAGAACACAACCTTATTTACTTGGTATGATGCACAACAGACAGGTAAGCATTAAAGCAATTTATTCAATGTAAAATATATGTATATATAATGTAAGATGTACAGGTAAGTAGAATGTACAGTTTAAGTAGAATGTTAAGTATAATGTAAGATGTACAGGTAAGTACAATGTTTAGTATGATGTAAGATGTACAGGTAAGTAAAATGTTTAGTATAATTTAAGGTGTACAGGTAAGTAGAATGTTAAGTATAATGTAAGATGTACAGGTAAGTAGAATGTTAAGTATAATGTAACATGTACAGGTAAGTAAAATGTTTAGTATAATTTAAGGTGTACAGGTAAGTAGAATGTTAAGTATAATGTAAGCTGTACAGGTAAGTAAAATGTTTAGTATAATTTAAGGTGTACAGGTAAGTAGAATGTTAAGTATAATGTAAGATGTACAGGTAGTAAAATGTTTAGTATAATGTAAGATGTACAGGTAAGTACAATGTTAAGTATGATGTAAGATGTACTGCAGGTAAGTACAATGTTAAGTATGATGTAAGATGTACAGGTAAGTACAATGTTAAGTATGATGCAAGATGTACAGGTAAGTACAATGTTTAGTATAATGTAAGATGTACGGGTAAGTACAATGTTTAGAATAATGTAAGATGTACAGGTAAGTACAATGTTCAGACATGCGCAATATGTTCCTGATTACCAATACATTTTGAATTACAACAGTGAATTTTGTATCCTTGATACTCAAGGCATTACACTCACTTTTGCTCTCTGCACCCCTGGAATATGTCTGGCAAAATTAAAGGCTCAGTGTGCACCACCTTGTGGATGAGATGTGAAGACTAGTTTGGTTCTTTCAGTTGCATTACGGTAGAAGTGACTGATTTTGAAGTTGGGCGTTGCCCCTCTGTTATCTTCAATACACAGCCAAGTGATTTTTTTCCCCCCGAGATCAATCACATAGCTAGGTTGCCTTCAATTTTGCTATGACATATTTCAGAGGAGCAGGACAAGGGAGGATGTGAATTCTGGGGACACAATATCGAGTCCTGGATCCATGCTTTTCCTGTGAGACGTCGACTCACTAATATTTTGAGAACTCATTGTACCCCTAAGTAATGAGACTCATCAATACTTCGAAAAACATGTTTAGGACTTGCCCGAAAAATTCTTACTAAAATCACAATTATGTCTAAACCCAGCACCACCTAGTAACCAATACTGACACCTAGTAACCCTGTTACTGACACCTTGTAACCTTGTTACTGACACCTAGGAACCCTGTTACTGACCTGTTGTCCTCAACTTTGACCTGTTGCCTGCCAACTCCCAACAACTCACAGCTTCGCAAAAGTTCACCTTTACGTTGCTCTCCTAATCCATAGTAATTTCCTGTAATATCAACAAAGAGTACTATAATCCTCTAAATCTGGGGTCTATTTTACTACCTGTAAAATATATATACAACACAGTTGTTTCTATTCTTATTACTTTTCACGAATAGTTCAAGAACAAAGATTCTTGATCTGAGCTTCTGTAGCCATATTGCAAACCTGGCAGGATATTGTCTCTGTCCGACCTAAAAGTATGTTGGCAATAATCAAAGTGAAGTCAAAGTTTGTTTATTGAACATTTTGTATAGTATGATACCTATGCACAATCACATTATATGCAATCATTTTTATTTATTGATACCAACACAAGATAGTGCCATAATATTTAGACAAATGTACTTGTTTGTGTTTGCTTTGCTCACTCAAGGTGGCACTTTTCCATGCATTCACATCATAATGTTTATTGTTTTAAATTCAGAATATTTATTCATGAGTTTTGACAGTGTATATATTTTTAATTTAATTTAATTTGTTTTCATAAAAATACAATTAATCAACCTGTTTTGAAGATGAAAAATATTGAAAAAAAACAACTTTTGAAAAAATAATTTTGTCTTTGCAAAAAATATTATTATCACATGTACACGTATAATGGCTGTAGTACCAATATCTGGCCTCCTCTGGCCAGGCATGCAATATAAAAATTTGTCTCGTTGTCAGAGCTACGTTTTCCTCTAGCTAACATGCATGGCTACAGCGACACTAATTTGTTGTAAATGATATTGTTCACTGTGCCATAGACAAGTCAGAATCCAGTGAACCTGGAATCAGATATGCCAAGCTAACCAGATTCCAGTTTACTATATAAGGGATTAATGCAGGAATAGGAAGCTAGTACCCTATTTTGAAATAGGGGTAAACAGGGCGCTGGAAAACCACTAGTCCGCTCGTCCATGACAAGTGGAAATCAGATTTGGCAAGTGGTTTAGATTAACAACTCGCCCGGTGGACGAGTACTTTTCCTAAAAACAGCAAAGTTAAAATCAGCTTATTTCTTTTTCTTTACGCTATCATAAATAAACCCATTTTTTAAAAGTTATCACGCTCAGCGTGTAAGCGGTTGCATTATGACAAGTCCCGAAACAACCTTAAATGAACATCCAGTTTCTGGTCTGGATAAGTGCAGAGACACCCCGAAATACAAATCTGGGGCTTGTCGTTCTTAAAATAGAACTTATATTTACCGCAGTTACAAAGTGACGAGCAGACAGCTGAAGCTGGGTGATTTTTAAAAACATTTGAAAGCACACAAACGTGACAGTTTCAGAGTCAGTGACACGGACAACAAAGTGAATGCATTCACACACATCAACAGGTAAAAGAAGGAAATTTTTATTTAATACTGCTCAGTGACATAGCAAATCAATTTTCGGAGTGTTTGCTCACAGGGGGTCAAGCGTCCGAGGCGCATAGTGCTGGAGTAGGGGTAGGGTATGGGAAAGGAAGTTCCCCTCCATAGCTGGGGAAAAAGATAAAAAAGAATACCACTAGGCACTAGAAGCAATCTTGTATTCTTGGAAAAATCTATTAGTCTGATTACTAACAATAAAACCCGACCTTTTATATGATTAGTATCAAATTTAGCACTTGTAAAAGCAGTTTTTGATTTACATAAACCTTCGAGATTATTCGGTGTGTATGGATATAACAACACTTTTTAATAAGACTAAAATTTTCATGATTTGTTTTTATTCTTACCTTTTTTATGATTGATACGGGCGGTGCATATTTATCATAAAAAAAAGATATTAGTAAAACTACAAGATTTAAAAAAATCTTTAAATTTAAGTTTATGCTTGAGCATACATGTGTGCTACGCCACTGCTGCTTTTCTTGCCAAACAAAATATTGCCTATTTATTTTTAAGATAAGGCCTAGATTAGATTTTTATTTGTTATTTTCCAAGACGAGTGGTTTTTCTGTTTGGACGAGTACTTTTTGCCATATATCTGTCCGCCAGACAAGTGGCTTCAAAAGTTTTCCCGGAGCCCTGGAAAATATGCACTGTAGGTGCATGACCAGTGTCCAGCGAGGGCTACAGGCAAGAGCCAGGGGAAGTGTACCAGTTATGAATCATCTTTAATTTTTGCTTCTCGCTGTTCATTGTAGATGCTTGGAATTGACCATCGGATATGCATTAGAATAAAGCATTTGGGTGACTGTTTTGATATTGTATAGCAGTGTTGTAAAATATCAGCATGCAACAGTGACAATTAAATGAACACAGGGAAAATGCAATAAATCACTCAGTCATGGAACTACCGGAAAATAAAACAAAATGGTACCAAGATTGATATTCATGTGGTATTTATTTTAGTTACAAGTGGGAGAATTTTTAACTGAAATAGGGGAAAATATAGCTGAAAAAGGTGAAAATAATGCCAAAACTGGAGAGAGGAATTGGCCCATATATCCACGACTATACATGAAACTGTTACATTTACGTAAGTATTAATGAAACGAACCCACAATCCTGGACTTCCTAGTCGGACGCTCAACCACTGAGGGAAATTCTCTCTAGTTCGAAGGTGACTGTAATCCTATGTCTGATTAAAATCTGCCCCCCCCCCCCATTTAATAGTGTTAAATGTGTTCGCGCTTGAACACGACAACCCAGTTTCAAACTCCCTGTCACCACAGGGAGGACCACAGACACCATTTGTAACAGGAAAGAGAATGGTGTACTTCAACTGGGAATCAAACCAGCGATCCCAGGCTTCCTAGTTGGAAGCTCCATCACCGAGCTAAAGGTGAATTCCCTCTAGCTGGAAGCTAGCTATAGAAGGCTACCGTAATCCTATGCACAATGAAAATCAGCTACATTAAAACTAGTTAGGACTATATGCTATGCTAATTACTACTGCTCACTCTCTCGATACATATGTTTGGAAATACGCTTAAGTCTAGAGATTGTGTAAACAACGGGTGGTGGAAGGATCTGCAGAACATATTTTGTGGCACTTCAATATAAAAAATTAACGAGTTAAAATAAATTGCAGCAAAATGATATCGAAGCAAAATCTCCTAACAAGGAGATGAGGACACGCCCACATCGCCCGCGAAAAAATACCAATACGTAAGTTAACATCTAGTCAGGATGAAATAAAACCATATTAAAATGAATAATTGAGTAATGAAACGATGTGTTACATATTGTACTGACCTGTTGTTAGACACAATACGCTGACTAAATGTCCCTCCCGTACTAGGGACAATACAACGGGGGCCATAAACATGCATTCGTCATCTGGATGCGCTGTGATGAGAAGGACTTTTTGAGGAACAGACGAAGATATTGCTCTATAATTGAAGCTTCTTACACTTCCAAACACTAGATAAACAACTACTGCTAAGATAAGATACGGATATACGAAGTACTTCGTAATTTCGTCCTTGTGTTCTGATAGAAATTCGATGAAGTCAGTTGTCAAGTTTCCCGCCATCTTGGAATTTGAACTATTTCTTAATGTCGTAAAACTTTGACGAACATATCATATTGACATTTCTTAAATATTTCAAATCATAATAATTTATACAAATATGAATTTATAACCTGTGTGAAATTGTTAATAAAGTATGGATATCTAAACTGATTTATTTTTTATTACGACATATAGACTCATGTATGGTAGTTACGCATGCCCAAAGCATGTAAACAGTGTTGCTATGGACAAACATGGTGGGAAAATGTGTTACTGAAAACATTTGTATGAACATTTTAGACATTTTGTGAATATTGATCTGGGATTAAGGCCTGCTAAGCGATACCTTGGCATCATTGAATACTTGTGTCATTTGTGGATATAAATATGGCTGACGAGGAGGGACAAAGTGCGCCAGTAGCACAAGAAGAAGAACAGAAACAAGATGAAATCGCTGCAGAACCAGTGAAGGAGGGGGAGGGGGAAACACAGGAACAAACAGGCGAAAAATCTGAAGCCAAAGTAGAAGAGGCTCCAAAGGAGGAAGAACCCAAGAAGGATGATGCTGAACCACCATATGGGGAAACTGGTACAACCGAGGAAAAATCTCAAGATGTAAATGAGAATGCAGGAGGTGGCCAAGAAGGGGAAGAAAAGGAAGGGGAACAACAAGAAAATACTACAGATGCACCGACAGAACCAACTGCCCCAGAGACAACAGAAGGGGCTGGGGAGGCAGGGCAACTACAGACAGAAACATCTGAAGTAGAAGGGGAAACCAAACCTGCACCTACAGAAAAAGATGAGGAAACTGCACAGGAAACTGTTGCAGAAGAGGAAGAGAAATTGGTACCAGTTTTTACAACAGATACGTCAATGGATGTAGAGCAACCAAAACCAAGCGAAGTAAGTGAACAAGCACCCACTGAGGCTCCCGTGGTAGAGGCACCATCCACTGAAGCTCCGAAAGAGGCCACACAGGCAGACATGTCGCAACAGCAGAGTGAAACAGCTGGTCCAACTGAGGAGACCACTGGACAAAGCCCACGTACAGTTACCCGCGAAAAAACATTATCTCCTCCACCACCTACTGAAACCATGGGTACAATGAGCACGCAACAAGAACCACCTCCTGAAACCAACCTAATTCCAGATGCTCCGAAAATCCCAGTTATTGAGAGGGAGCCGTCTCAGATGGAAGGCACCATGTCAAATACAGCTTTGGTATTTATTTAAACGATGACATGTTATAGAAAAAATATGTTTTTCCTTCTAATGTACTATGAAGGGGACATTTATGAATGAATAAAGCCCAAGGTATAAATTTATACTTGGAATGATAGTGATTAGTTTCACATGTAAATAAGTATTTTTTTTATTCAGGTTTTGGTCTGTTAATTATAAAAGTATTGCTTGTAGTTCAATACATTTCTAACCATGCATTTTGTTAAATGAAAACTGCTGTCACGCTTTATTTATAACAAGCACTCTTTTTTAATGTGTGTGTTTTTCAGAATGTTGTGTGGTCATTTGGACTGAACAGGAACATCCCAGTGAAGAACCTCACGGATAACAACAGGAAACTGATCATGTATGCCTGTGCTCATGTTGGTGTTTTGTACGACTATGAGGCTAACAGACAACACATTCTACAGGGCCATGTGAGTCTTAATATTTCATTTACGTTTACATAGTGTACTATTATAGACTGTCACATATTTTTGTGAAAATTATTGAAAGATGATACTTTTTTTAATACAATATTACCATAGTTTGATCAACCAACGATATTGTGGGTCCAATTTTATTTTTAAATTTCTATTTTATATTTTTCTATTCAAATAATTGCAGGTACATATTTTTAAATGCTGAAGAATATATGCTTACAGTGTTTCTATTAACTCATGGGTTTAAACATACATGTAGGTCTGGCTAGCAGAAATTTTGAGAGTCAATTTACCTGTGGGCTAGTCTTCTAAATATGAAATTGTTTACCCCAGTAATCTGTATCTAATCTGAGCAGTATTGTTTTGTTTTAATCAAGTGGTTCTAAGCATAAGACCCAAGGCTTGTGGAGTGTGTTATACAGAAACTGAGAAAAACGATGTGAAACAGACAGAAATTGTGAGATAAACACAGTGAGACAGACAGACAGACAGACAGACAAATATTATGAGACATACTATGAGAAAGACACAGTGAGAAAAACTTATGAGAAATCTTGTGAGACATGAAGACATACATAGTGAGACACACAATGAGACAGCCATTGTGAGACATAAAGTGAGACAGACAGTGTAAGACACAGTGCAACAAACATTATAAGACAAGAAGACAGACACAGTGAGACAGACAGTGAGACAGACAGTGAGACAGACATGAGACAGACAGTGAGACAGACAGAGAGACAGACATGAGACAAACAGTGAGACAGACAGTGAGACAGACATGAGACAGACAGTGAGACAGACAGTGAGACAGACATGAGACTGACAGTATGACAGAGAGTGAGACAGACACGAGACAGACAGGGAGACAGACAGACATGAGACAGACAGTGAGGCAGACATGAGACTGACAGTGAGACAGACAGTGAGACAGAAATGAGACAGACATTGAGACAGACAGTGAGACAGACAGTGAGACAGACAGTGAGACAGACACGAGACAGACAGTGAGACAGACACGAGACAGACAGTGAGACTGACAGTGAGACAGACATGAGACAGACAATGAGACAGACAGTGAGACAGACATGAGACAGACAGTAAGACAGACATGAGACAGACAGTAAGACAGACACGAGACAGACTGTGAGACATACTGTGCTAGTTAATGTAGACTATAGCTACAGAATCAGAGTAAATACAGGGATGTACAATTCATACTAGGCCACAGGCAGATTTTGAAAATTTGTCTACCAGCCAAACCTATAATATCATTGTAAACACTGAAAAACTTTACCATCCCTGACATAAAATTTGGTAGTCCTGGACATTGGTCTATGTAACTTATGTACACCCCTGAAAGCTCAAGTTCATAGTCTCAACAAACATGGTCAATAGTTTGCAGATCGGTCAAAACAATTTCTTTCTTGGATTCAGGTGAACCCCTTGACATGCACATGCGTGAGTGAGGACAAACGCTGGCTTGCAACTGGAGACAAGGGCAAGGACAGTATGGTCATCATCTGGGACACTTACACAGGGTCAGTATCTGGGACACTTACACAGGGTCAGTATCTGGGACACTTACACAGGGTCAGTATCTGGGACACTTACACAGGGCCAGTATCCGGGACACTTACACTGGGTCAGTATCTAAGATACATATTTGGGTCAGAATCTAGGATGCTTTCACAGAGCCATTGTCTAGGACACTTAAACAGGGTCAATATCTGGGATACATGCACATAGTCAGTATCTAGGGAACATATTTATAGTCAGAATCTGGGATGCTTACACATGGTCAGTATCCGGGACACTTACACTGGGTCAATAGCTGGGACACTTTCACATGGTAAGTATCTAAACTGCTTACACATGGTCAGTATCTAGGATGCTTTCACAGAGTCATTGTCTAGGACACTTGCACAGGGTAAATATCTGGGACACTTTCACATTGTCGTTATCTAAAATACATGTTTGGGTCAGAATCTGGGATCCTTTCACAGGGTCAATATCTGGGACACTTTCACATGGTCAGTATCTAAGATACATATTTGGGTCAGAATCTAGGATGCTTTCACAGAGTCATTGTCTAGGACACTTACACATGGTCAGTATCTGTGACACGATGTACATGAGCTCTATATATATATATATATAGGAGACTTCAATTAATAACATCGGTATCTGAAATGCTTATATATATATACAGGGTCAATTTCTGGTACAATTAGGTACGGTTAATATCTAGGTCAGTATGTTTTTTGTTTCAATAGTTTCTACATTTCTACAGTACCTTTCAGTATCTTTGATACTTAAATTGGATCAACATTTAGGACATTTATGCATCCAATCTTGAATTCAGTCAGGATTACTAAAATGTTAACATGTTCATTTATATCTTTGGATTGTTTTTGCCTGAATCAAGTTCATTTTCTTTGTTGACTTCAACCTTCAGTGAAAAAGATTCATGTTTATAAGCGTGTCCATTAACAGCTAAGGTCATCTAATGGTGTGCCGTGGAAAAAAGACCCGGGTGCAGTTAAGTATCTACTTTAAAGTAGTGAAAGGAAGATTACGATTTTGTTTTTTATATTTTCAGAGTTCCTGTACAAACAATTTTTGATGATGACCAGGAAGGTGGAGTGGTTGCCATGGCAATGACCCCTGATGCTCGTTACCTAGCAACACTTAGTTCTGCAAAGAAACAGGTAAGATTAATGTCACTTTAGTCTGATTATTCTGCATCAAAACTATAAAAACTATTAATTGAAAAAAAAATCATTTTTGTTCTTTTCATTTCTCCATTTAGGTACTGGCTATCTGGGACTGGACAGTGGATGGAGAAAATCCTATGTGCACAGCTGAGCTGAGTCCAAACTATGGTGTCCAAAACTTCATCAAATTTAATGAAGAAGACATCCATTATCTAGTGACAAACAGTGACTCACAAGTTGTTTTCTACCACTGGGTAAGTGTGATGTAACAGTGACTCACATGTTGTTTTCTACCACTGGGTTCAGTGACTCACAAGTTGTTTTCTACCACTGGGTAAGTGGGATGTAACAGTGACTCACAGGTTGTTTTCTGCCACTGGGTTCAGTGACTCACAAGTTGTTTTCTACCACTGGGTAAGTGGGATGTAACAGTGACTCACAGGTTGTTTTTTTCCACTGGGTAAGTGTGATGTAACAGTTACTCACAAGTTGTTTTTTACCACTGGGTAAGGGTGATGTAACAGTGACTCACAGGTTTTTTTCTACCACTGGGTAAGTGTGATGTAACAGGGACTCACAGGTTGTTTTTTACCACTGGGGAAGTGTGATGTAACAGTGACTCACAAGTTATTTTTTACCACTGGGTAAGTGTGATGTAACAGTGACTCACAGGTTGTTTTCTACCACTGGGTTCAGTGACTCACAAGTTGTTTTCTACCACTGAGTAAGTGTTTTTTAAGTTGTGTCAGGTAGCTCAACATATAAAATTAAACAGGGATTATACTATCAGTTGGTAGCATTTACCAAAGTTTATTATGACCCTACCACCTTTGTGAAGGTTATGGGGGGGGGATTAGGCTTTGTTTTGTCCATCATTCCATCTGTTGATCAATACATACATCCCTGTGATATATTGGATGGTTTTACATTTTGCTCCATATCATAGATACAATAAGTCCCACTGCCAGCAATTTTTTTTCTTTTCTATTTCAATAAAAGAAGGAAGGGTTGAGCATAATTCACAAAAATGTTGTGCTTCAGGTAAATTATTATGAAATACATACCTCCCCAGTTCAAAACTTCTTAAAACTCATATCAACTGAACTAGGTATTATCACTCATTATATTGAAGATTGTACTAAAAACAGTGTGTTGGGTACCTATAGCTTGTTTTTTCCAGAAAAGTCTATTTAAATTTTGACTTCATCATTCTTTTTTTGCCCCCATTAAGTCGTGGAGAGGGCATCATATGTTGACCTGTTCTGTCATTCGGAGTCCCTCTGTACAACATCCGTAATATTTTCTAGTTTTCTAGCAAGTATCATTTAACAGATTTAGGTTTGCATCAAAAGTTGTCTTAAATCAATGTTTCCTAAATTATGCGACACAAATTAGTAGTAATAACTCAAATTCAGATCACTGCTTTGCTATAATTGATTTGGTTTTAAAACTGATTATTCCTACCTTAGCAACATCAAAAGTTGTCTATTTAGTGATGTGTCACCTTTAAAGCGAGTCTTCTGGATTACCTCCCCTTATCAAAATTGGCATATAGTATTACACCTAATAGAAACCCTTTACACATCATGTATACCATGGGTAAATTAATTGTGGTGAAGAAATGGGCATTCTTAGCTGAATTTAAGACAAACACTTAGGAGCACTTAAAACAGGCATAAAGGAAGGCGTATTTATTAAGTTGCATATAGTAGTATGCTAAAAGACTAAGTACAATTTTATCCTGATTTGATTTTATCAACAGAAATACCTTCATCACATATATACCCAGGTACTGTAAAATTGAAGATATTAATCTTAAAAAACCCACCAAAAAACAAGATATATTTAAGTTTTCCTTTATGGTTTGTTTTGCTTGAACTTTGCAGAGTGACAGCCACATGGAGTACTTCGCTCCACCACTGACAGATCAAGATTTCAACAAACCTGTTGGACGTTACAGTCAGTCTATCTTCCAGCGGAACAGTTCCAGAGTTTACTCCGGAACTTCCATCGGAAATCTTGTTGTCTGGGACAATAACAAACCTGTCACAAAGTGTAAGTATATAAATATAAGTAAATGTTAACCTAGGCGCTTTGGTTGAGTGACTCTATGCAAATTAATGCAAATAATCATATCAGAAAATGTAAGTGGTTAAATCTAGGTGAAAGTTAGAATAAATGTCATTGCTATTTCAAATTTGCCGAAAATATAAACTTCACATGAAAAAAGGTCTATTTTATTTCTTTATGTTTAGTACTGTTTTGTTTTCAGTAAAGAGTATGGAGCTTTCTGCCAACAAAAAGGCACTCAAGATCATACGCCTTCAAGACAGAGGGATCAACGTCCTTCAAACAACTGAAAAGTGAGAACTGTTTTCATAAAATGTACAGTCTAATCTATTTTCTATCCATCCGTATGAATGTTATTTCAAAAAGTACAAATTCATAATTTTTTTATCCATTTAATTATTAATTATCTTAATAAATTAGGAGGCACGGTAGTCTAGTAGTAGGACGCCGGGCACGGCATGGCACTGTATTGTATCTTTGAGCAAGATACTTTACTCCACTTGTTCCAGTCTACTCAGCTGTAAATGAGTACATGGATGGGCAATGCTAGAATTGTAAAATGCCAGCTGTGAGCGCCGAAATAGCAGCACCAGCTGTATGCTCCCCAGGGAGTTGAGAAAGATATTGGCTGGTTGCAAAGGCCCTATAACCACGGATAATAATTTGTGAACCACTTCGAGACTACCTACAAACTAGGTTGTGATAAAGCAGTATATAAGTACCTCAACTTATTATTATTAATAAATACCAAATCTATGGTACCCTTACCTGAACCACACCCCATAGTAACCTCCTATATATGATAAGGTTCCCTGGGTTTATTGGAAATAAAGTTCTAATGGTTAGCTGTGGGAACATAGTTCAAAGGTCAGATGTGCTTTTTTTTTCTTCACTTTTAAAAATATCAAACTTTGGTTACCCTGTAGCAGGATGTGATTATTTATTAGTTGATTTATTTATTTTTTCTTGACATTATTTTGTTTTTTGTTTTCTTTCTCAGATACATTGTGGTTGGAGACATGGCCGGCCATGTCAAATTCTTTGATGAAAGTCTAAAACTAGTACACTGGTGAGTTGATGTTTATATATTGAACCACAGACTTAGATAATCTAATTCCATGATTGAACAGTTGTAGTACCAACATTTAGAGAAAAACTGTTTATTGGTTTATCATAAGAGTTTTGTTTCAAGATCATAATAAAGTTAATTTCATGCTTTTGAGAAATAAAATACGGTCTATCAAGAAATCCCCCCTTCAAACTTTCGGCCTTTGCTGGTAAAATCCATATTGCTAAATGTTGATTTCTCCATTTACATAATTATATATATTAAAGTGTTTACTTATATTCACCGTTATGATTAAATTTGCCCTCATTATGGAGGGCGAAGGTTAAACTACGATGGAAAATTCCCATATACAGTATACATGGTAATTTTATATTTTATCTTTGAAGGTATCAAGATTTTCACCTGGGACCAATCACATCAGTCTCATTTGCATACGATGCTGATTTCCAAGCAGTGTAAGTATACCAGAATTATGTTTCTGAATCTATAACCATTAACTCCAAAACATCATTTTTTGTGTGATTTGAAATTCGCCAGTAAAATCCATATAATTGAAAACAAAAAGTTTTGATTTACACGTTTGTACTTCTAGAGCTAAAGATGGAACAAACTATCCTCCTGATGCCACCATTGAAGCCAAAAAATTTGTCATCAAAGATTTTGTGGTTGGCAGTAGTATTGCTATTGTTGGAAGTATAACAGCAGATGGCACCAAGGTCAAGGTTAGTAAAATGATTAGGGTCAAGGTCACTGTTTTTGTTTTAGAACAGTGTATTCCAATAACTGTCACACATTTTTTTTCCTTTCACCCCTATGTAGCTTAGTAAGCTCTGCCATGCATTGATCTGGATAAGTCCATTATTGTCTACAGTGGTGGAAGTGTTGTTTTGTTTTATATCAAGATTTTATGTGGTAAATGACAAGTTAAAAAGAATATTTTGAGAAACCTTTTATAACTTTTTCATCTTTTGTTTCATATTAAAAAAAAAAGAAAAAGAAAATGCCAGGTAAATAAATAAAAATTATAAAAAAAATCATTTTACTTTACCAGGTGATACACAGAGAACACGATGCAGCTATCCACGCCCTAACAGCTCATCCCAGACTGTAAGTTACCTCCTCTGTTACTTCCTCTTCCCTGTCACTACTCTATTACAAACAATCACAGACAGTCCCTATTCCCTCCCCTGACATACAGCTCATCCCAGGCTGTAAGTTACCTCCTCTGTTACTACTCTATTACACACAACCACAGACAGTCCCTATTACCTCCCCTGACATACAGCTCATCCCAGACTGTAAGTTACCTCCTCTGTTACTACTCTATTACACACAATCACAGACAGTCCCTATTACCTCCCCTGACATACAGCTCATACCAGTCTGAAAGTTACCTCCTATGTTACTACTCTATTACACACAATCAGAGACAGTCCCTATTACCGCCCCTGACATACAGCTCATCCCAGTCTGAAAGTTACCTCCTCTGTTACTACTCTATTACACATAATCACAGACAGTCCCTATTACCTCCCCTGACATACAGCTCATCCCAGACTGTAAGTTACCTCCTCTGTTACTACTCTATTACACATAATCACAGACAGTCCCTATTACCGCCCCTGACATACAGCTCATCCCAGACTGTAAGTTACCTCCTCCGTTACTTCCTCTTCCCTGTCACTTCTTTATTACAAACAATCACAGACAGTCCCTATTTCCTCCCCTGTCATACAGCTCATCCCAGACTGAAAGTTACCTCCTCTGTTACTACTCTATTACAAACAATCACAGACAGTCCCTATTACCTCCCCTGTCATACAGCTCATCCCAGTCTGAAAGTTACCTTCCCTGTTACTTCCTAGTATCTGTCACTTCTCTATTACAATCACAGACAGTCCCTATTACCTCCCCTGACATACATCTCATCCCAGATTGTAACTTACCCCCCCTGTTACGTCCTCTTCCCTGTCACTTCCTTATTACAAACAATCACAGCCAGTCCCTATTACCTCCCCTGACATACAGCTCATCCCAGATTGTAAGTTACTCCCCCTGTTACTTCCTCTTCCCTGTCACTTCTTTATTACAAACAATCACAGAAAGTCCCTATTCACTCCCCTGACATCCAGCTCATCCCAGATTGTAAGTTACTCCCCCTGTTACTTCCTCTTCCCTGTCACTTCTTTATTTCAAACTATCACAGACAGTCCCTATTACCTCCCCTGACATACAGCTCATCCCAGACTGTAAGTTACCTCCCCTGTTACTTCTCTATTATAAACAATCACAGACAGTCCTTATTACCTCACCTGACACTCACTTTACCTATATCCCTAGATTTCTTCCAACTCCCAATATCACCAATTGAAGGAGAAGAGTTATTTCTTTCTCTGTTGAACCATTTGCTTCATCCAGGAGAGTTATATCCCCTCATAACCATTTGAAACAGTTTTGACTGACAATGACTATATATAATGATTGATGGATTTTATCGTTGATTGGAAGGAAAACGTAAGGCATAACAAGTACTAATTTATTCTATTTTTATTGTGTTAATCAGCTATTCTATATAACATTCAGTACAGAAGCTATTGCTCTTACTGTCCTGGACAATACATTTTCATTTTGGTTTATCTCAATATTTTTCTAAATTTGAAGATGTAGATAGGTTAATGCAGGACAGTAGCGAGTACAGGTGTTCTCAGGTGGATGAGTTATTATAAGTAATGTATTTCACTGCTTTTATATACTTTAAGGTACAGATTTATCTATAGATAGGGAAAGCAAATAGTCTGTGTTTCAATTAAAGATATCTCTATATATATCTCTATATATTGTAATTCCCCATTCACGTCAACAAACCAAAACTGATAGCTTACGAAATTTATTAGTTAACAAACATTTTCATCAGTGTTCAAATGATCAGGTTTTAGTTTTACCAATTTACCAAATGAACACATCAGATACTATTGCAAGAGAGTTAAAAGAGAACATGTTTATTGAAATTCTAAAACCGGGCTTGAACGCAGGAAATTTCAAGCACCTCTTGTAAATTTTAAATTTACAAATTCTGTATGTTTAATATGTTCGGATGAACTAAGTATTGTGCTTTGAAATTCATTTTTACTATCAGATGTTTTTAACTTTTACTATTGAACAATGTATTCATTTGTGCATTTGTAATATGCTCCGTTTCTTTTTCCATATATTTCATTGACGCATTTAATGCAAGTACATTCATGTAATCTTTTTAAGACGTCGCAATTTCTAGACGTCCGCATTTTGTGTACTTTGTTTATGACGTCATTATTTTTGACGTCTTAAGTATGTGTACTCAATTTAGGACGTCACAAATAAATTTAAATCGCCTGAAGAGCCCCTAGATGGGCGATTATACTAGCGTTCGTGTTTTGCTTTATTTATATTGTGATAAATATAAATTTCCTTTTTTCCAGACCCTACATTGTGATTGGGAGTTACTCAGGTCTTCTGAAGATATGGGATTATGAAAAGAAGTAAGTTCATCTTTACCCTTTCAACCCTATGTAACTTTAATCAACTCTTCCCTGCATTGATTTGGATAAGGCTATTATGGTATAAAGTGATGAAAGGGTTAAATTAATTAATATTCATAAAATTGACTCATTTATCTGGAAAGACATAAGGAAAAAGTCACTCAATACTACAAAGCTAAGTAGATAACTTTGTTTGTATGCCCCTTGTACGATGTACCATTGGCCTCTATGGCGGACAAGGGAAGTAATCTAATTCTTCCCTTCACATCTGTCCTAGCTGTGATCTTTGGGGCCGTATGCTTACAAAACTTTGTGGTAAATATTATATGCTTAGCAGTGTAGTAATGAGCTAATTTTCCCAAACAATAAATTATCAATGTTAACTTAATTGTATTTATCAATATTTAAGTTTAGCAGGTTTTGCTAGTGTCAGAATATTCATATTTATTTAAGGGACCATACAGAGGTTGACACTCTTTCTCTCCGTAAACAAATATTTAAAGCTCTGTAATATATGAACTTCAGACTTGAAACAATATTTCAGAACAACAAAGAACAAATTAAACAGGATTTATATGTTATGAAACATATTAAATTTTTAATTGCTTGTACATTATTGAAAGTTTGAAAATCTTCCTTTTTTCACCTCAGTGAACTTAATTTAAACTTGAATATCACAGATAATCACAGTGCGGCTTACTAATTGTTTTTCAATTCATCAACATTTTCATTGAACTCAAAGTGTGTCATGGTTACATTCTCTTTGAAATAACAACTTTGACTATTTGACAAATTTATGCTATGAAATTTAATTGTAGACAAGTTATGGTCACCAGAATGTTTGAAAAAGGAAATCTGATTCGCTGCTGCTCTTACGATCCCAAAGGAGCTTACATTGGTAAGTCTATTCATTGACAAAAAAAATCTATGATTTTGGTTCATTAATAATGTACGTAAGCCGTAATTTGAAAAGATGAATGAAATAATAAAAATTATATCAATTCAAAATGATTTACCGCATTGCTTTATTTCTTTTTCTCTGATATGTATTTAGTCATTAAGTCAATCAACTTAAAGTCATTACATTGTGAAAAAATTATATTTTCTTTTTTTGTTTTTTTCATAGTTATAATTTTTTCTTTTTTTATTCAGCTGTTGGTTTTGTGAATGGTTCAGTAAGGATATTGGATTCCATTACCTTGAAAGATGAAGTTGCTGAACCGTTCCGATACGCACGAGATGCTATCACCCATATTGCATTCTCCCATGATTCCAAGTTCATTGCCACTGCTGTGAGTGATGTTATCTTAAACTGTCTTGAAGTTTGACACTTTTATACCCCCTGCAAACAAAGTGGTAGATAGGAATCACCCTGTCATTCCATCTGTCCGTCTGTACTTGAACCTGATAAGTGCAACTCCTTCCAAACCATTTGTTGGAACTTACAATTCTAGTATTTTTGCTAGAGTTATGGCCCTTGAAACTTTTATTCTGTACCAGAAACCTTGTAAGTGCAACTTTTTGTAACTAAGCACAGTCAAAGTACGTCATATGTAGATTTGCGTGAAGAAAGAAATTTGTGATTCAAATTTCTTGCACCTCAGACAGAGATATTCTACGTCATACTCTATGCTAAATTTTTCTATCTCATCCGATCCGTCTTGTACCTTTACGTGACATTTTCGTGGAATTTTTACACAGTGACGTATTCATCTGCGCATTAATGACTCGAAATTGCCAATCTGCATTATACATATGCTGTTTTGTCGTTATATGTATTGTTTTGATGTACATAATGTAGTTAGATATCTGATGTTGTAGATAAAATATAGTCTACACTGTGAAATACGTTTTCTTTGTAAGGACAGACTACATTTTCATGCGGAAACTTTCAAATGCAGCTTTAGAAGTGTAGAGGCAATATTACGTTGAGGCCCCGGACGGGATACTTGTAGTCTTTAGCAAAACTGAATAGTTTTTTTGGAATTAAAATGGGCGAGAAAAAAAATCTATTAACTGAGCAAAATTGGGTTATCTCAGTCTCGGGCTGAGATTCTGTAACATCCCAACCCTGGCTTACACCTCGGTTGGGACTATGTTACAGAATCTCACTCAGTTACAGGTAATAGATTTTATTAATCTTTCCCAGAGTTATGGCTCTTGAAACTTTAACCTCTGCTCCAGAAACCTTGTAAGCACAACTCCTCCTTACCTGTTTGTTGGAGTTGTTTGTTACTTGGCACAGTGATAGTATATCATATAGTAGATGTGCATGAAGGAAGAGATTTGTGATTTGGGCGTTATACCCCCTGCAAACAAACTTTGAGTACGTAGATAAAATGAAGCAGTGGTTCTATCTGTATGAGCTTGTACACAGTTTCTCTAGTTTATTGTTGTCTTGAGTTCAAAATCAAAAGTTCATATGAATGTTAAATGCCCTTTTCTTAATGGAAAGACTTTAATCAACATTAATTTGATGGAGTTAAAAAAAACCACTAGAATATTAAGTTTGTACATGATCAATATTTGTGGTGTTACGGCCAGTATTTACAGCTAAATTTTTCCATCTTTACAATAAAACCTACCTAATCAAAAACCTGAGTTTTCAGACGTTATTTCTAATCCAAAATAAAACTGTAACCACATTTCTAGTGAAAGCTACCATACAATACATGTATATTCTGACATCTGTCTATTTTGTCCAAGTTTGCACCCAACAGGTGTCATATTAGACAGGTTTACTGATCTGAAATTTACATGATTTAAGTTTTCCTTGTTTTCATCTCAAAAAGTTGAATTAATTATTCAGCATTAATTTGCAAACTATTTTATTTGCATAAAATGATTCATTCAATAATATAAAAAAAATCTTTTCCTAATGATAAATATTATCTTTAAAAAATACAACATTTTACAATATATATGAAAATTATTAAGAAGCTTTATCAAAATAGAAAACATGCAATCTATTCTTATCCATTTTCAAGCTAATCTTAGATAGTTTAAGTGTTTATATATTATTTTTTTATTTCAAAAACTTGTTTTCTTCAATAGGATGCAGAGTTCACGATGACGTTATTCAAGCGACAAAGAGGTGATGAGGAGCCTTACATGTACCTTGGTCGGTACCGTGCCCACTACAAGCCTATTAAGGACATTATGTTTGGTGTTCATCTGGACACTGATCAGCCCCGTCTACTTTCACTCGGCATGGACAGAGTTCTGGTAATCTTAGCTCACATAAAAATAAAAAATAAAAAAAAATAGTTCTGAAAGCAGTTGACTGTTGTGTGTTTCCAGGTTGCTGTCTGCAAATCTAGAATTTGAAATAGAGATTTAAACATGTTTATAAAAACCACAGGTGACCAAAGAAAATTGGTCATTTTACTTTTCCTGAGAAATTCCAGGCCAGAGTAAACAAATGGGGCTTTGATGTAAGCAATCGTACAATAACCATGTTCATTATGGTTTTTACAAATTCATATTTCAATTCAAATCTGTATCAAATAGAAATGAGAGAAATCTGGTGTTCAGACAGGGACAGAATCACCAATTTTGTTTACAAAAGTACATAGTTGTTTGAGCATTTTTTTTTTTTTTAATTCATTTTTTGAGCTTTTCAAATCTGGAAACAAGTGTTAATCAATTGTTTGTTTCTATATGAATATATATTTACAATCTATTTCAGTTTCTCATCTTCTCTCCTTTTTGAGTTATAAGAAAAGTCTGACCCAGGTATATCTCGCATAATAAAAATGAAAAATGGTGTGAAAGCAGTGCAGGGGATATTTCATGAAAGGAAATTGATTATGATAAAAAATATATATTTATATATATATCTGACTGTAAATTTCTTTGCAGGTGGAGTATGACCTTGAAAACAGTGAACAAGATGACATTCGCATCTCAAGCACTGATAGGATAGAGCAGAGTGCTGTCCCACAATGCATGGCCTGGTATCCACCAATCACAAAAGAGCATTTCATAGTAACAGCCAATGATCAGGTTTGTTTATTTGAATTAAGATTTTCTTTTTTTCCTTTGAATTCATTGAAGTGACACTTGCTTACTATTTCACTTGTCTAGTTTTCCTCATTTTATCACTTTTCCTGAGTCATTCTAGAAAAAAATCCAGATACTCTTTTTTTATGGTTTTAATGCCCCTGCCATTTTATTGGGAAGAACCATTAGAGTGTTATCTGTCTCTCCTATCCCGTTATATCCAGTTGCTTCGTGTTCCATGACATCGTGTCAAGTCATGTCCCATCTTACGTTTCACAGTCATCGCTTTTCCATCTTCTTTTGATAAAACTTTATGCATAGATCCAGTACAAGTTTAAGGGGTGTCTCGGCCATTTTATCATTAACAGAAATTTGTCAACAAATTCAGTGACTTCAATCCATAACATTCATTTACGAATGATGCATATTTCAGGAACGAAGTATAAAGTTCATGGTCAAGGTCATAGTTACAATTTTTAAGAAAATTCCTAACTCGAAGTAGAGTGTAAGGTTATTACAGGAAACTGGGCATTTCTACTGACCTGGGATTCATATAGATTGACTTCTTACAGGACAATGTGAAATGTTTGTTGGCAATTTCTACTAAACTTCAATATTAAAATATTGATGGGGCTTATTAAAAGTACATTCAATTGACATTTGTTGGTATTTCTTCTAAATGACAATAGAAATGGATGGGCTTATATCAGGCCTGGACTTACCGAGGGATACATCCATCAACTCATTTGGATTCCCCGAGAGTGATAAAAGTAGACCTGACGAGTGGTATTCTGTTGTATAGATATTTATCTATTATCAGTATTTGACTTTTGTTGAGGTGAATATGTGGTTAACTCATTCACCCCTAAAGACACATTTGAACCCTTCCAATTCAAAGGGTGGAATAGTTCATTATGAAGTTTCAGGGGTGAATGAGTTAATGGACCTCAGAAAGTGATATTGACCGAGACGAAGTATACAATATAAAAAACATATGATGTTTTAATTATTAAACAAGATTGCTTGAAGGTAAGAACATCAACATCATCTGGTAGACAGTTTTAGGACATTCTGTTTCTAAAAATAGTAGCGCTGATTCAGTATAACAAATCACTGACCTCTATATAATTAAGTGAGGATGTAGGAAAAGTTTGTGTCATCTAACATTGCTGGGTGGAGTACAGAAGGCCAGTGGAATATACCAGTAGTTCCTATTAGCTTCAATAATTAGCTCACCTGGTCCGAAAGACCAAGGTGAGCTTATGCCATACCGTGGCGTCCGTCGTCTGTACATCAAAAATTGCTTTAAAAGACTTCTTCTTCTTAACCACTGATTGGAATTTAACTAAATTTGACTGGAAGCATCCCTAGGTGGTGGGGATTCAAAATTGTACAATTGGTGGGGCTGCCCCCCCAGGGGGCTGAGGAGCGGGGCCAAAAGGGGGCAATTTGGCTATATTGCTTAAAGCGACTTCTTCTCTGGAACTAAGTGGTGGATATCAACCATATTGGACTGGAAGCATCCCTAGGTAGTGGGGATTCAAAATTGTACAAATGGTGGGCTGAGGGGTGGGGCCAAAAGGGGGCAATTTGGCTTTATTGCTATAAACGACTTCTTCTGTAGAACTATGCACTGGATATCAATCATATTTGATCAAAAGCATTCATGGGAGGCAGGGATTCAAAATTATACAAATGGTGGGGCTGACCCCCCGTGCTAAGGAGTGGGGTCAATTTTTTTTATTACTTGGTTGAGATCCCCACTGTATAACCATATATACAATTGCTGAGAATAAAGAGAAGGATGCACATTTGCTTCCAGGATGGCCCTAGGGTCTAGCCCCACCCTTAGAGACATAGTCCCTGGGTCATAACTTTAAAACCGTTGAGATCCCCACCCCAAAATTATGTATACTAATGCTGGGCAAAAAGAGACAAATGCAGTCATGATATTAGAATAGACCCTGGGGTCTGACTGAACCCCTAGGGACCTAGCTTCTTAGTCACAGCTTGGAAACAGTTGAGATCCCCACCCTATAGCCATATTATATACAATTGCTGAGTATAAAGAGATGAATGCACATATGCTTCCAGGATGGCCTTGGGGTCTGCCCCACCTATGGAGACTTAATCCCTGTGTCATAACTTCAAAATGGTTTAGATCCCCACCCGAAAACTATATATACAATTGTTGGGCATACAAATACGAATGCAGTCATGATATTAGAATTGACCCCAGGGTCTGCCCCACCCTTGCAGATTTAACTCCTTGGTCATAACTTAGAAACGTTTGAGATCCTCACCCCAAAACTATAAATACAAATGATGGGCAAAAAGAGACGAATGCAGTCATGATATTAGAATTGATTCTGGGGTCTGGTCACAACCCTAGGGACCTAGTTTCTGAGTCACAGTTTGGAAACAGTTAAGATCCCCACCCCATAACCATACATAGAATTGCTGGGCATGAAAAATCTAATACAGATATGCTACATATTCCCTTGAAACTCATTTGGAGAATATTTTGCCATAATTGTTAAGATATCCAGGTGAGCGATACAGGCCCTCTGAGGCTCTTGTTATCCCCTCGCAACGAAAGTTCGAGGGGATATAGGATTACACACTTATGTACGTATGTGACACTCTTTGTCATCGCTCTAGTGACTTCATCCCTCAACAGAGTTTCATGAAACTTCATACAAGTGTTTGGTATGACAAGGGCCTTGAGTAATCTTGCATTTCAGGTTTCTATGTTGAAGGTCAAGGTTACTGTTACTATTATTAAAAGTTCTTTTCGATGACTAGTACGAAATGTACACTGTCACCTTCATCAGACAAATGACCAATGAAGCGTATGCACACAAAGGTGTAAAATGTGTACGAGTTGTCCATAAAATCAATGTCGATTTCGGCTACGCTGGAAACGTATGTACAATATTTGTTATATATGTACCGAAATGACTCAATTCAGCTACGCTTTGTGTGCATACACTTCACTGGTCATTTGTCTGATGAAGGTGACAGTGTACATATTGTACTAGTCATTGAAACGTCAAATAGAAAATTTCATTGGTTGTGTAAAAAAGAACTTTTAATAATCCATACTTACCAACATGAAGAAAATGTTTAGAAATGTCACTGTTACTATTTTTAGAAAAAACTCTGTCAGCGCTCTAGTGACTTCATTCCTCAATAGAATCCTCATGAAACTTCATACAAGTGTTTGGTATGGCAATGCCTTGAACAAGTGCTTGTTTCAGGTTTCTACGATGAAGTTCAAGGTCACTGTTACTATTTTTAGAAAAAAAACATTGTCATCGCTCTAGCGACTTCATTTCCTCTTACATATGTCACAATGTGTGAATGAGAGGGGATTTGTATCACTTGTGATGTCACAATGTGTGAATGCGAGGGGATTAATATCATTTGTGATACCTTGTTTCTCTTGTGATATAAAAAAAGTTTTGCACCAATTTAAGTTTTTGTTTTTTGATATATTTACATGACTGAGCATAATTCAAATAGAGAACTAAAAACAGATAAGACATTGAAATGAATAACAAAATTGGTCTCACAATTTTGTGTCTTATGAACTTGTGATGATTCATATTTGCATCAAACTCCCAAATTTACCCCAAAAAAATTTTTGGGTAAAAAAAAATGCAAAGCTAATTTTTCTTGAAACATACTTACCGGGTATATAATGTACACTTAAATTTTCAGTATTAAACTTCAGAAAAAAAAATAGTTTTTCTTGTATTCATTTTTTTCAATGTTTTTACCAGTTTAAATTCAAGCTCTACAATGCCACGACGAAAATGTGTAGGAAGACACTGCTGGGTCCAACCTATGGCAGCCCAATCCAAAAGTAAGTCGGATTAAAATCTTTAATGTAATGTGTTGAATATTTTATAACCTGACTAAAGTGAACCTCAGGCTCTTTAAAATGAAACTCTTTATAAACCAGTCTTTGAATAAGGTACTTTGTGTACTGGGTGCTGTGTGTACTGGGTGCTGTGTAATACTGAGTTCTTTAACAAGTCCTGCACAGAACTTTGTGCTTTGAAAACTGATTAACTATATTTTTAAATTTTTAAAGTATCAAATGAAATTTGTTTTACACACATTGCAAATGACCCTTAAAACAAAGTAAATTAGAATGTTCTCTGGGATTCATTTTGATAATGTTTTACTGTATATAAATAGATTATTTCACTTGGGGTACATGATTGACAAATTACTCTTGGGGAGACAAATATTCATGTTTCCCTTATACAAGCTCAATGACAGTATATTTTGTTCTATTTATTGATTAAATTGTTAATAGGAAGTATGTATAATTACTTGGTAGTGTAAAAAAATACTTAAAGTTAAACCGTTTGAATGGAAGTTTTACAGCGTTAATGTTTTGTTACAGGCTGTGCGTGTTGCCCACCAAGGATCCAGCGCGAGACAAACGTTACGTAGCGTACATCACGAAGTACAAGGTGGGACTACACATCTTACCACTGGACGGCAACCCACACAACGCCATGGCTTTAATTGCACATCCAGCAGAGGTACCTATATTATAGTACATATTTCTTTATTTGTTTCTTTACGAACTTCCTGTATCATTATCTTAGCCTATTGCACTTTTTTAACAGGAAAGGACAAATATTATGGGATACCTTTAACTTTTATTTTTTTTACAAGTATTTTACATATATTCCAAATCTTTGTCCCTGACAATTACACTATAAACAACCAGGGCCAGTATTCATGAATACAGGCCCTGGGTTTGAGTATCCGTTTCCTAAGTTCTCAAAAAGCATGTGGTACTTGTTATTAAGATTGGTCGCGATTTGTAACAGCTCAGAAAAAAACTTAAAGCCGGTAAGACTGGGGTTTTCATCTTAATACCTTAATTCTTACTCTAGACGGACGCTTTACCTACTGAGCCATTTCATGATTAGTGATCAACCCAGTCCAGATAAACAAGGCACAGTTGAACATCGACCGCCTCGCTGTGGTCTGTTCTATAACAAACCTCTAATACAAGGCACTGTTGAACAGTGACGGCCTCGCTGTGGTCTGTTCTAGAACACACCTCTCATACAAGGCACTGTTGAACAGCGACCGCCTCGCTGTGGTCTGTTCTATAACAAACCTCTAATACAAGGCACTGTTGAACAGTGACGGCCTCGCTGTGGTCTGTTCTATAACAAACCTCTCATACAAGGCACTGTTGAACAGTGACCGCCTTGTTGTGGTCTGTTCTATAACAAACCTCTCATACAAGGCACTGTTGAACAGTGAGCACCTCGCTGTGGTCTGTTCTATAACACACCTCTCATACAAGGCACTGTTGAACAGTGACCGCCTCTCATACCTCTCATACAAGGCACTGTTGAACAGTGACGGCCTCGCTGTGGTCTGTTCTATAACAAACCTCTCATACAAGGCACTGTTGAACATTGACCGCCTCTCATACCTCTCATACAAGGCACTGTTGAAGAGTGACGGCCTCGCTGTGGTCTGTTCTATAACAAACCTCTCATACAAGGCACTGTTGAACATCGACCGCCTCGCTGTGGTCTGTTCTATAACACCCCTCTCATACAAGGCACTGTTGAACAGTGACAGCCTCGCTGTGGTCTGTTCTATAACACACCTCTCATCCAAGGCTCTGTTGAACAGTGACCGCCTCTCATACCTCTCATACAAGGCACTGTTGAAGAGTGACGGCCTCGCTGTGGTCTGTTCTATAACACTCCTCTCATACAAGGCACTGTTGAACAGTGACGGCCTCGCTGTGGTCTGTTCTATAACACTCCTCTCATACAAGGCACTGTTGAACAGTGACCGCCTCGCTGTGGTCTGTTCTATAACAAACCTCTCATTTAAATTCATGTCCATGCCATATAATTAAAATCATTTTGCTGTTCAAACATTTTAAATGTCAAGTGGCTTTAAATCTGTAAATTGAAGAAATCAAACTAGTTGTAAAAAGGCATGTTAGATCAGGGCTGTGATCATTTCATATTTCTGTAGTGATTTGATGACAATATAATCTGATTAAAATCATCTGTTACATGGCTCCGTTAACTTCGTACTATGCCTGATCAGGCGTAGTAAGAAGTTAAAGGAGCCATGTAACATGAATTTAATCAGATTGATGACAATAGAATTTGACTCCATTTTTCAATAAATGTAATAAACAAACCTATTGTTCTTATTTTCTGATGATTTCATTTTAACAATCTATTTGTAGGTGGCAAACATGGCGTGCAGTCACGATGGGAAATACATCTTCACATCAGGAGGAACAGACTCTACAGTCCACATGTGGGAAATTAACCTCAAGTAAGGCTCCATATTTGACATGTGGATCATAAGATGTCACCTTTGGTGACTACAAGATAAACCTTACATTTTGAAAAATTGGGGAAAAAATCTATTTAATTCTGTTTCATGTAAAAAAAAATATGTAATTGAAAAAGTTAATATCCACAATTCAACTGAATACATTAAATATTTTTCCTATTTATCTCTGTTGTTGTATTGAATACACTAGATCTACTTATATGATGCTGGGTCTCACTCTCACACATTAAAAAAGCATCAGATATTCTTTTTTTTTAAATATCAATATGTATATGCCCTAATGTGCCTTTACTTGTTCCAGAGCATTAGAAGCCCAGTCCAGCCTCGGGGGTGAAGACCTTGTCCCATTCTATGGACTCCTAGAAGGAGGTAGAGAGGGGGAACTGTTTGCTGAGCTAGAGGACTATTTTTACTACGCCCAGATCAGAAAGTAAGTCTTAAAAATAATGATGTAGTTTTCTTGACGCTATACATAATTTTGCTGAAAAGCAACCCACATAATGCAATGGCTCTCATTGCACATCTGCCAGTCATGTTCATTCAAATAAAACACAAAAAGGAAAAAATGCAACAGCCAGAACAGCATTCAAACCCATGACCTCCAAACTCTCGACAGCCACTCTACCTAATTGAGCTACTGGGCCACTAGCAATCAAATCAGTTTATTTCCGCTACATTCCTCCCTCTTTCAACAAAGTTTCATTCCAGAAGACACACAGGACTCTATACCACCTTCTGTGGGCATATTTGGTGCAGGTGCCAAACGGTACAGGAAAATGTCACATAAAACTGCATTCTGTACAGAGTCTCTGGTGATCAACCCTGTCTAGTTCTGCTACATAAACATCAAAC